TGGGTTCTGAGGGGGGCGGGAAGTGGGAGGGGGCGGATAGGGGGCAGGAGCCAGGCTGTTTGGGGAGGCACAGCCTTCCCTACCTGGCCCTCCATACAGTTTCACAACGCTGATGTGGCCCTCGGGCCAAAAAGTTTGCCCACCCCTGGTTTAGGCAAAGGCGGGAGGTGAGCTTTTTTGGCCATCCCTCCTTGTCCCACCTGTTGGACCTTCATCTGAGGCCCCAGAGCACCCGGTCTAGTCTCTGGCACGTCCGGAGACACGACGCTCCTATGGCCTTACTTTGCACACTTTGTGTTCAGGGTGGGCAGTGGCAAACTCATTCAGCCCAGTTTCCAACCCCACCCCCAGGCTGAAAAGCTTGACTCTGATTTGAAGGTTGTTGGGTTCCCGTTCTGCTTATGGGAGACTGAGAGAAAGGGAAGAGAGAGAACTGAAAACATGGTGGGAAAGTGGAGCGGAGCCTGGGAGGTGAGGGGAAATAGAGAGAAACTGGGAGGAGGGGGTGAAAGGGGGGAAGAGGAGAGAGACATTTTAAAGTGAAGAGAGATACAATCCACACCTGAATAGCACATACAGAGTGCACTATTCCTTCTGTCTTTAATACACAGCACGGATTTTTCCCCCCTTTAGATAGAAAAATGGTATAAACTATAGGAGGAAAAGGTTTGCAGCTCAGGGCCCTGTTATGAGAGGCAGTGTAGTCTAGTGGGTAGGCACCGGGCTGGGAGTCAGGAGCATCCAAAACTAATTTGTGGCATTTGCAAAACTTAAGCTTCCCCAAAGATTCCCCCCTGTTCCTGCTTCCCCTCCCCCCGCTTCCATCATTACATGTCAGTGCCTCTGTGGACAGATGCTAAGAGAAGCATTCAGGCTGTGGCAAGAGATGTACTGCATCATTGCACAGGACCCATTGGCAAGTTAAAACTGGGGGAACAGGGGCAGGAGGGTGGAATAAGGGGGATTTCAGAGGTCAGAAAGGGAAATCTAGGGGGTTTCCTGGATGTGTATGGAGTTCAGGAATTTTCCCTGGTGAGAGTGAGGCCAGGAGGGAAAATACGGGTTTTTGTAACAAGGATGGGGGGAGGTGTAAATGCCGTGGCTGGGACAGTGCTCCCTGGCCTGGGAGGGTGACTAACCTCCAGTCCTGTTCTTTTTCCCTTTGGACACAGAACTGGTTCCGAACCTCTTCAGAGGCGGCCCGGAAGAAAAAGAACAGGGACCAGATTTCCTCCAGCCAGGAGGAGAAAAAGAAAAGCACAACTGGGAAGAAAAGGGGGAGGAAACCCAAGGAAAGGCCCCCAGAAATGTCTCCGAAAGGCAAAGAGAGCTCGGCAGCAAAGACTAATCATAAGAAAGCCACAGAGCCCTGGGAAGGATCCAACTGCAGCCCCGAAGGGAGAGAGAGAGGCACCAAGCTACCCACCAACAGGAAAGGGGGAGCCAGTAAGATGCCTGAGAAATAAGGGGTTCAGAGACTCTCTGAGGATTAGTTTACAGGCCAGGGTAACGGGGTGGGGCCCCTCCCGGTTTTCTCTCCCCCGCCCCTGCTCATCCGTTTGTTTTTTTAAAAAAAACAACAACAAAAAACCACTTTAAAATCATGGACCTTGTTTCACACTGGAAAAAAAGAAAAGACTGCGACCCTCCATCCGTCACTCCCGTGCACACGCCCGTACCCCTCGACTCCCCTCCACACACGCGCGTGTGCACTTGTGCATACACACGGGCTGCACAGCTCTTCCACTGACGGGTCACGTAATGCAGCCAAACCCCTGCAAAGCGGGGACCCCCCTGCTGACCGTTCCCTTCAAATTCTGTGCGCTGAACTGGTGATGCTTGAGCAAGAGGAAAGTGCAATAGAGGAGGGGCGTAAAGGCTTTTTATTTGCGATTGCTTGTTGGATTACCCTGCCAGCATAGGAACCTGATTGGTTTCTTTTTGGGTGGGGCAGGGGAGGGAGGAAAATGATCTTTTAGACACCGTCTGTACCACGCCCACAAACGGTGCGACAGCCTGTGGCTTGTTAGTTGTGATGACCTAAGGGCGGAGTTGAAGAGGTGTCTCCAGTGACTAGGCTTCGCCTACCTGTTGCAGTGGCTGGTGAGGCTTAGAAAATGCCAGTCCCGAAGCCAGATGCAGAACATGGTTATAGCCAGAATCCAAAGCATAGCGCCCTTAGGAAAGATTTTGGGTTTGTAAGGCAAGCTGGTGCCCCGTGGTACCCACAGTTAGTCCACTTGGTTTCTATGAATGATGCTCGTGCTGTAGCTCGGAAGCCCGCCTGTCGATTTCAAAAGATGTCGTGGGTCCGAGCGTTTAACCCGTGGTCTGTTGGTTTCATGGCCTGGCCAGTGTATTGGGCGTGGTTTCTTCTCCGCCGTCAGGGTAAGCAGGTGTGGTGACCATACGTAGCGGTGCGTTCGCCGTAGCACAAGGAGTTTGTCTGTTTTGGCCGTTGTCGTTCACAAGCAGCAAAGAATGCTCAGAGAGGCCAGAAACATGCCTGTGGGGCATGAGAAAAAGATCATGACTGTCACTTGTGACTCCAGCGAAAGTCCACTGGAGCAGCAGGTTCTCAGCACCTTTGGAAATCAGGCTTAATGAAACCAGTCCCAAGGAAGAATTTTTTATTGGGGTGGGGGGGGGGATTTGTTTTATTTTTTTAACTGAAGGCTGGGCAGTTGCAAAATTATCTGAGCTCCATTGCCAGATTGAAGGGGAGAAAAACCCTCTGGATTTTGAGAGAACTTTTCCAGACTTTTTAAAAAAATGTACATCAATATAAAATACTGTATCAAATTGATACTGAGCTATTGGTACAAATAGCCCGTTAGCAACAGAGCTGGGTGACTGCTGCAGAAAATCTGCATGGGCATTTCTTTGAATTCCCCCTTTCTGTGCTCGCTTTCTGCTGGCAGGAATGTTCACTACAAGAGCAAACGCTGTGGAGGGTTGGCAGAAAGAGACTTTCAAATTCGTGATGATGAGCCATCACCCCGGACAGCTGATTCTAAGAGTGAGGCTCATTCAATCAGGGGTCAGAAACAAACCACGTGACCTATCTGTCCAATCCAGTCCACTCCACTTTTGAATATTGAATACTCGCAAAGACCTAAGAGGGTGAAGAACTTCCGATAATGAATCCATCTGAGAACATTGCAAGATGTTCACGGACAGAGAAAGAGGCAAAATTCATCCAAGTGCTCTATGAATTAGTCACCCAGTTCTCTTCGCTAGGCCAATGAGATCTCTCCAGCCTGAATTTGGTGCACTGTATTGGCACCAAGTGACAATCACAGGTCATGCTTTATAGTCACACCTCCGTGGCTTGATGGATGCACTCCTCTCTTGACTTGTTCTTAGCGCCCTCCCTTTGGGAGGAACATGCCATGGCCCAGGGGAGCAGCCTCTGATCCCCTGAAACTCATACTGACCTCAGTTCATCTTCCCAATTTGTCATTCCTGGGAGTCCCTTTTAAACAACCGCACTTGTTTTGCGTTCGTATTTCTCTGAGCTGAAATTCTTAGAACACCTCGCTCTGGGCTGGAGGAGAAACTTCCCCAGACCAAAGTCCATCGGCTTCTAGACAAAAACCAGGCTACCTCGCTCCTTGATAAATACATGGGGCTCGCTGCAATTCATATCACAAGGAGGCTTACCAGAGCATTTTTGTAACACGTTTTTCACTTGCCAGTGGAACAAAACCCAAGGAGCTTTTCCCTCATTTGTTCCAAATTGGGGATTTTGGAAGGTTACATTCAGGGGGAAGAAATTCTGCTTATTTAGTCAATTAAAACCTTGACCTTCACTTTGCTTCACTGCATTTCACAGCCTGTCCTCCATCCCCTCAATTCTTAGTATTTTTTTCATGCTCTGAAGAGCCATTCAGTAATAATTAATGTCCTTCTCCAGTGACACATTATTACTGCCTCAGAGATAGAGCTGTCTACTCCTGATGTCAAGTCAACTCCTCTGGGGAATCCTTGCTTAAGTGCCCACCATATATCCTGACAGCCGAAGTAAAACGTGTGCATTTCCCCTGGTAGCACTAAGGAAGTGTGGCTAAAGCCTCCGCTACTTGCCCCTGAAAACTGTGGCCTAAAGATTGCTCGGGATAAAATCCCTCCCTTGCATTTGGCCATTGTTTACGGAACACTGCTAGGCCGCATTTTAAAGCAATTAGTGAACAAATTTAATTAGACGGCACATCTGGTCCTGTTTGCCTTTTGGGCGTCATCTGTTCTGTTGTTTATCTTGTTGTCAGTAGCGCAAAGTACAGACCTTATCCCCCAGAGGAAGAGGATGCTTCTTAGTAGCCAAAAGGCCAGCGACTTCCTAGCCTTTGCAACAGGATAAACTGGAGCTAACTTTCCTCGCAACTTTCCAGTGCATTGCAAAGAAAGTAGGAAAAAGACGACCAGGTGCAATTTTGCAGTCATTTTGGTGATATTCTAGCCAGACGGAGCTCAACGGTAGGGCTGCCTGTTTCAAATGGAGTCATCAAAGCAGTAATTACCAGAAAGCCATTTGCATTGAGGGTTCTTATTCCCAGGATGGCGAAACACTGTTAAGCTGTATCCCGCCGATGCTCCAGGGAGGGGCCATCCTGCCATTGTTCCAGGCTAATATTGCCACTTGCTAAAAGCATTCTGCCGTTCCCTCGCAGGAACGGAACGCAGCGCGAGAAGGGATGTGAGAAGTAACGGGGCCTCGGATTGTCAAAAACAACACGTCCAGTCATGCTCCTAGATCTGTACGTAGGCTCCTAAATCAAGTGACCTGATTTCTCAGTCGTGCTGAGCACCCAGCTCCCGTTGACGTCAGGGAACGCTGCTGGACGCTCAGCACTTTTGAGAAATCGGGTCACTTTATCTCGGAGCCTAAATCGACTTTAGAAGCTTGATTTCAGGCGCCTGCTGTTCATGATCTCAGTGAGAACTGTTTGAATAGTTACAGATTAACACCAGCTGGAAGATGTTTAGATGTTCAGATAAGGATCCTGACACGGCAGAAAGCATGGCTGAAAGGAACAGAGGAAAGGCTGGGAAAAGACGCGAGGAGAACCCCTGCTGCATCGTGGCATGTACAGTACAAATAGCAAGATTACACTGAAACGCAATTGGTATTGTGTAGGCCCAGGCCTTGAAAAACGTGGGTCCCAAAGCACACTTGTGCACCCTCAAACTCTGCAGGTCTGATTGTGCACATTGGCTGTCACACAGCACGACTGCATGTCTTGTGCACGCTTCAGTACACATGCTTTTGCTGGGGCACCCACAGCTACCTCCTTTAAAGAACTGAGCCCCTAAGCCCAAAATCTTCCCCTCACCCCAAGTAAATGGGCCAGGCGCCGGGGACTCTGCAAGGAGGAGTCCTCTTCTCATGGCACCAGAGCAGCTACTCAAGGCTAACGGTGCCTAGCTCCAAATCCACCATGTCCTGCTCTCCAAGGAGACCTCACCGATCTGGGCTGTGCAGCATGTGTGGGGTTCCAGCGGCTGGGCTTCCCTTTGCACGCGGAAGAGGCAGGCCTGGCTCCTTAGCACTGGAAACACCCTGACCTTTATTTTCAGTGACCGTCGCACGTTCTTCGTGAATAGAATTGCAGGAGGACACTTCGGTTTTGTGACGTCCCAGATTTACAAACAAAAGCAGCTTTGTCAGATACTCTCAACACGAGGGGACGTGCCAGCGCCACTTTGGGGGTCTCGCACAGCTCTGTGCAATTCAAACTGGGATCTTCTGGATAGCCACTGACTAGGGGGCTCCTCTCATATGGTCCAGTACATTCTCTCCTGAGGCCTTTCTCGAGTGTGGAATGGGTTGTGATCAGACAGGGGGCATTGCAGTTGTTTATATCTATTACATGGGCGTGTCTGAAATGGGCCTGAGCCACAGAATCTGGATCTGAAGCCAGGTCTCCAAGACTTCTGTATCTGGGAGTACTTGGATCTGGGGGTTCCATTTGGTCTGTTAGAGAGAGAGTTAAAGAGGGAAATTTAGAGCTGGGTTCCAATTGGGAACTTTCCAAAAGTTTGGGGGCTGTTTGGATCTAAGTTTTGGCTTCTGGCCCATTTCTGATTGCGCAGTATCTGCTGATATACATCCACCCCAGCTGGGTGAGCGTCACCCAGCTAAGGCCTGAAAACGTATCTCAGCACTAGTCTCAGTGACAGCTGATGCGGGGGTTCTCCTTAAGCTCAAATGGTAGAGCAGCTGCTGCTGCTTTTAGATGTCACATTCCTCGGTTCAAGTCCCAAAAGGGATGGATTCCACTCAGTGGCAACCAGTTTGTGGTTCAGTCCTGCTGGTGGCACGTTGTCTGATGCCGGTTTGTGTGTGAACAGCAGTGGGCCAGGTTCACGCTGCTGGGGGACAGCTGTGTGCTTGTGTGCTCGATCCCGGGCCTTGTCCTCTGTGGCTGGGGGCTTGAAAAGTGACACGAGTCTGTGTTGATAGTGGAGCTTCTCCCTTAACTGAAGTGGTTGAGCGGCTTCCCTGGGCTCTGTGCGTCTCCAGTTCAGCTCCCCATGGAGCACCAGTTGCCTCCCCAGGGGTTAGCACGTGGGCCGGGATTTGAGAGTTCAAACGTGCACAGAGATGGCTTGAATCAGACAGGAGTTGATAGCATCTCAGTAAGGGCAGAGCAGGGGAACATCCGAAGGCAGAATGGACCTGTTGGAGGTGATGTTTATCAATACTACACAGCTCTCTCTACCCCATGCAGCTGGCCAGTTCGGGGTGGAGTCCTGGGCCGGCCCTTTGGGGCACCCCGAGGGGTAAAAGGTGAGAACAGTCCTTCTTCTTCGAGTGCTTGCTCATGTCGATTCCATTCTAGGTGTGTGCGCACCCAGGGGCACAGTTGTCAGCATTTTTTGCCTTAGCGGTATCCATAGGGCCAGCCCCTGGAGTGCCGTGCTCATGCGCTGGTATATGAGATGCTGCCAGCCCTACGCTCTCTCCCTTCCTTCTTGCTGCCATGGCGGTGGGTCAGAGCGCCTTCCTCTTGCCTCGCAAGTGGACAGTGGTTTTTCCTAGTACCTACTTGGTCTATAGTTTTTACAGTAGTTTCATACCAGGCAGTCTTCTTCCCGAAACCTCCTAAGTCAGATGAGGAGTGAGATTACACTCGCTGGACGTCAGGAGGGCGCTGGCTTTCTCCATAGAACAGACTAAGCCATTATGTAAATCGATGCAGCTCTTCGTCGCGGTGGCAGACAGGATGAAAGGCCTTCCTGTGTCCATTCCAAGAATCTCATCTTGAATCACTGCCTGCCTCAGGTTGTGCTATGAACAGGCGAAAGTGCCACCGTCAGCCATTGTACCTGCCCGTTCAACCAGGGTGCAAGCCTCGTCGGCAGCCTTCCTGGCCCAGGTGCCGACTCAAGATATCTGCAGGGCCACTACCTGGTCGTCCAGCCACACGTTCACGTCCCATTACGCACTGACCCAGCAAGCCTGGGACGATGCTGGCTTCGGCAGAGCAGTATTGCAAGCTGCACGACTGTGAACTCCAAGCCTTCATGGATACGGCTTGTGAGTCACCTAGAATGGAATCGACCTGAGAAAGCACTCGAAAAAGAAGAAATGGTTATCTGCCTTTCGTAACTGGTGTTCTTCGAGATGTGTTGCTCATGCCCATTCCAATACCTGCCCTCCTGCCCCTCTGTCGGAGTTGCCGGCAAGAAGGAACTGAGAGGTCGTAGGGCCGGCAGTGCCTCATATACCAGCACATGAGTGCGGCCCTCCAGAGGGCGCCAAAGCCTGCCCTACGGATACCGCTACGGCAAAAAATTCTGCCAACAGTGCACATGAGTGCACACACACTGAGAATGGAATGGACATGAGCAACACCTCTCAAAGAACAACAGTCGTGAAAGGTGGGTAACCGTGTTTAAGTCCCTTCCCTGAGCTCAAGGCCTGCAGTTCTGTGTGCAACCCCTGCAGACCACACAGCTGAGGGCGAGAAAAGCTCCCCACCCCCATCCACCTGCTGCACACCTGTGTGCAGGCCAGGCAATAACAGACCCCTCGGAAGAGACTACAGCGCATTCAGGATCCCGGTTGGGAGGGCGTCTTTCCTGTTCACCTTTTCCACAAATCTGCCCCACCAGCGGCCTGCTTTTCAGGGTTGCTGATCGCATGGCAGTTACTGGGACCCGCAGCTGCCCAGCCCGTCTGAGAAGCAGCCTGTTGATCGGTACTAGAAAACCCATCAGTTATGCAGCACAGCGGAGTGCATGGGTCAGTTTGTACCCACACACCGGGGCTAGTTTCCATGCTGCCATTAAATAGTATTTGTTTTACAGTAGCCACCAGATGCCTCCGTCTGGATCAGGAGCCCAATCGGGATCAGGGCCCCTCTGCACCAGACGTATAGGAAGGCACAGCCCTTGCCCTGATCGGAGCCCCATTGCACTTGTCATGTGCAAAGCACATAGGACCCCGTCCTGAAGCGCTTACATTAGAGCTGCACAAAGAGGGTTTCATGTGAAGCCCAAATCCATGGTGCACGCGTGAGCATTGCCTTCCTCGTGAGCCTTACAGGCTAGCTGCAAGCAAGTGGGATGTGTGCAAAGATTGGGGTCTGGAGGACCCGGTGCTCCGACTCTGTGGGGTTCTGTGGTGTGAACCCAGTTCCGAGCACTCATCAATGTTAAATGTCCCGCCAATGTTGATGATACTGGTGTGTGTGTGTTAGTTCATATCTAGGACCAACTAGAGCGGAATTCTGGGGTTACCCCGTGTATGGAAGAATAGCAAGACAGCCTCTAGTTCATTTCATTCCTGGTCACAGCTGCGTAGATTACAGTCGGTGGCCTTTGACCTCCATCATCTCTATCCAAAAATCTCATGGGTTACATTCGGGCTGCCTGATCCAACCACTTGAGGCACCATCTGCCCACCCTTTAAAAAAAATCTTATTAATCTGCCTTCCCAAGCCAGGACACTTTCATTTACCCTTCTCTTTATTATGCTGCAGTTTCACCACTAGTCATGAGAAAGGAAAGGAGAGTCCCAAATATTTCCTGTCCCAGGTGTGGGAAGGCTGTGGCTGTAGAGAATGGAAAGGCTACAAAGCAGTGGTGTGTCTTCAGCCCACCAATGGGGAAGGTGTATAGTAAACAGATTGCTGACGTCCTCGATTCCCTTCCTTTTAAATTCTGCTTCCCAAGAGGAATGCAGTTTAGGAATAATTTCCCAGGCCTCGCTCCAACTTGCAGAATGCCTAAGCAGCTGCAGCTCTATTCTTCTCAGCAGAGCAACCAGTGTTGAGACTTGCCTTAAAAATAGCTTTTCATTGCCCTTCATCCTTTCTGTTTTCACAGCACAAACAGCTGCAGAGCAAAGGAAACAGCCCGAAATGCACATCAGTAAAATGAATGTGAGCGCAAGATTCAGTGCAGAGTTTCAAATGTGTTAGGTGTGTGCACCTGCATGTCTAATTTGCATGCACTATTACTGCAGTTGTGTGCACACACTGGGTATCTGCACGTGCAAATTCACCTGATTGGCTACTTGTGCACACAGTTTCCATGATTGCACCTGCAGCAGCAGTCATTGTGCATGCAAGTTAGGCACTCATTTGCACACTGGGACGTGTAACCTCCAGAGTCATCAATACACTGGGGAGAAGAATATCAGAAATTTCTGGAGAAGAAAAAGACCAACTGGCCCAACGTGGCAGCCATGTTAACATTTTTCGTACTGCCCCGGTCTCAAGCTTTTCCATTCCTTTTCTCTCTCCGGAAGCAAAGCTTGGCATCTCTTGACCTCATTTCTGCTATCGCTGCTGTTCCCCACAGTTTGCTCTATGTGTTCGTCACACCCGTGTCTGATAGTCCTGCCAGGGTTCCACATATACTCCTAGTTTCCCACTTTCTAGATTCTTGGTAATGAACTGAAGCCCGATGGCCAAGAATTCCCAGGACTGCCCTTCCCCTGGACGCAAGGATAGCCAAGCACGAGGCCTCTGATCTGACTGATCGTTTAATGGTCAGTGACATATTTTTCATAGTAGTTCGTTCCCTTCTTTCACTTTCCATTTCTGTTCGGTGCTGACTCTTGCTCTCTCTCTCTCTCTCTTCCAATGTTCAGCTCTCCAGCTCTGGCCAAGGAGGGCTGGAGAGAATTTCCTCCAGAGCCCGGCAGTGTCATTCAGTGCATGGGAGCTTTCTGTAGAACAACGTGAGGCTTATGTTCCCTGCCCTACTCAGTTCTCAAGGACCTAAGTGCGGTGCCAGTGCCTGGCCACCGTGCTTGGACTGCCCAACCAGTGAAATCTCCATCTGTCCATCTTAGGCATGTCTAATGCCTTAGTATCCGGGTACCAATGTCACTGGTGGCTGAAGACCAAAGGCCATGTGCTGGCCCCTGCGACAGCCCTTTTGCACTGCTCTGACCTGGCAAAGGGACCATAAAACTGCCCTAACTGGGCAACTTGGGATTGCCCGGATATGGGGGAATCTCTGGGTGGTAGAGTCCAGCATAGTCCCCCTAGCAGATCCCCTGCCTCAGTTCCTACGCTGAGCAAAGCTTGGCCGGATCCAGGGATTGGGGCCCAAACGTTGCAAGTGCAATTAGCTCCTTGCTGGTAGCCAAAAGCCAGGAAATATATTCCTAAGTCATTTTATAGTTGCTATTGGTAGCTTCAGTGACTGCTAGAAAACATCTGGCCCTTCTGCGTGCATGTGGGGCTGTGTGAGTATTACACACCGGACTCTGTGTCTCATCAAGGTCTGATCTGTTCCTGCTCGGCAAGCACTACGCCGATCGACTGCAAGGGGAGCTTTTCCTAACTAAAGACGTGCCAGACTGGAATCTCCAGTGGGAGCTCAGGTCAGTGTGGGGGTGATAGTTCAGAAACAACCAGAAGAAAAACATTCTCCGTAGCACTGCAGTCAAACCCATTAAATAGAGAGGTAGAGATCCTCAGCTGGTGGAAATCGGTGTAGTTCCGTTGTTGTGAACAGCTGCACTGATCTACACCAGGAAGATCTCAGTAGCACTTATTCTATGTACAGTTAGATACCAGGGTTACTACAAGATCCCTCATACGGGGAATGTGCGCGTAATGGCGTCCACTGTGTGCAGAGTGGGTTTGTTTGGGTGTTGCTCGTTTCAGATTGTTTTGTGTGTGTGTTTCTGTTTTACGGCACTTTGATACACATATGGAGCCGGTAATCTGTGCATTTGCCTATCCAAACTGGGTGACCGTGTCCACAAACGGCTGCTGGTGTGTGCAATTACCTGTGCATGTGTATGAACTCGTGTGTTCCCAGTGGTAGATAGATTTTGTGTGCACGCACCAGCGCATGCCTGACCTAAGCCACATTGTTTGAAAAGTTTGCCTCCAAGTCCACATTGTCTCCCTGTGGGTGTAAAACATAGAATAGAATATCAGGGTTGGAAGGGACCTCAGGAGATCATCTAGTCCAACCCCCTGCTCAAAGCAGGACCAATCCCCAGACAGATTTTTACCCCAGTTCCTTAAATGGCCCCCCTCAAGGATTGAACTCACAACCCTGGGTTTAGCAGGCCAATGCTCAAAGAACTGAGCTATCCCTCCCCCAACATTTGGATGGCAATTTTGGCCTTGATGCTCATTACCACCA